TATGGAAAGAGAAATAAGATGTTTAAGTATGAAAGCAAAATACAGAATAGTTTGTGTAGTGTGTTATTATTTGTGTCAAATCATATTAAACACTTGTATGCTTATACAAACAAAAAAATGTCTCTGAAGTATGCATAAGAAATTGGTAGGAGTTTTGCTTCTAAGGAGAATAAGTGAGCAGGAGGGAACTCCACTTTCCCTGTATATCCCTTCACACCTTTTAAATTTATACTGGGTACAGGTAAAGCACATATAACAATAAAATAAAATTTAAAGTTGCATTCTCTCTTTTTTTATGATCCAGCAGTACTACTTCTGGGAAAAAGTATCCAAAAGAACTATCCAAAAGAATTGTAATCAGCATCTCAAAGAGATATCTGCACTCCCATGTACACTGCAGCATTATTTTAGGGAGCCAAGACATGGAAACAACCCAAATGTCCATCAAGAAATGAACAGATAAAGGAAATGATGTATATACAAACAATGGAATATTGTTCGGCTTTAAAAAAGAAGGAAAACCTACCCATCTGTGATAACATGGATGGACCCAGAAGACACCATGCTAAGTGAAATAAGCCAATCACAGAAGAACAAACACTGCATGCTTTCTCTGATGTGAAGCATCTAAGATAGTCAAAGCTATAGCAGTAGACAATAGAATGATGGTTACCAGGGAGGGTTAATGAAAGGGGGATATGTGGAATTACTGTTCAATGAGTATAAAGTTACAGTTACACAAGGTAAGTTACAGAGATCTGCTACACAACGTACTGCCTGTAATTAACAATAAGGTATTGCATACCTAAAAATTTAGTAAGAAAGTAGATCTTGTGTTAAGTGTTCTTACCAAAATTCATCCCTTATTATCTATTATTCCTCCCTAGGGGTTGAGGAGTGGGTGTCATTACTTGTATCTGGGCTTATGATCCCACAGGAAGTAGAAAAAAACTCTGCTGGGACAACCCTATGAGAAAGACCATTCCCAAACTCTTATAAGGGCTCTTGACATTAATCTGTAAAACAAGCAGGTGACTGTCACCCATAGTGAACAATGGCACTACTACAAGTAGAAAGGAGAACAGAATCCATGCTTAAGGTACATGGCTAAACCCTTTAGGTTTTAGCTCAGCATGTCCATAGGGAAGGTCCTCCCTTTGCCCCTAAAATCTGGGTCTGAGATTCCTCTAACATCCTCCCACTGAGCCCTGACAGTGCAGGACGGGCCTTATTCTCCTGGACTCCCTCGTCCCAGCACAAGGGCTGATCACCTTAAAGCACCGTCAGCCCCAGGCCCTGGACTCACTGTTCTCTTGCATTCAGTCTGTAACTGCCATTTCCGAGAAGGCCCACAAGATGGAGAAGTCACTGCAGGGATGGAAGGAGAACAGGCCTGGCCTTCCCCAATGCCCCAGAGCCATAATTTGCTTGCGGTGTGGTCATTGTTTGCTTATTTACTTGTTTCATTTGAATACTTGAACGTGAACGGTTCAAATGTTCCTATTGTTTTGTTTTCTTTCAAAAAGAAAATATTTAGAAATTCTCTGCTCAAAAGTACATTTTCAAAATGGAAGCATTTTAAAAATCTGCTTTCATTAAACAGTTGCATCTTGTATTCCTGAGGGCCTCTGCAAACAGTTCTGGTTTTCTTGTTTTGTTTTGGCACAACTTAAGTTCCAATTTCATGGAAACTAATGGTACACTCTCTGCTTCTAAGAGAGCCCTATTAAGGAAGCTGCACTAGGAGATGTGGAGATGGATTAGTTTTAATACCCTCAACTTAATTTTGTATATTGTTTCTTCGGCACTTCCTTTCTAGGTCAATTTATCATTCCAAGTTTTACTAACATCTAACACACTAATAGACTTGAGAAAAGAAAAAATGGAAAACTCCAAGCTCACAATGATGCCCGGTTGTGTTTCCAAAGTGGGCTGAGGTGCTTGAAGGGACGTTTTAGTTGGCCTGATTCACCTAGGACTTCAGAGCAGTCAGTCTTGTTTTGAAACCAAGGGACTGGAGCTCCCCAGCATTCCACAGCATCCTGGCACGATGTTTATTAGGCAGGTTCTATGCTTACAGAAGACGTGAGTTCTTATTGCAAAATGCAACTATTACTTACAATAGAGTTCAGTATCTTTCCTAAGAAAAGAGTTTTCCTTTTGGATTTTAATTATATGTGGGTATACAGTACATCTCAACAATAAATCTTACAAATTCTACTGAAGTATATGCCTCAGTGAAAATAATCACGTATCTTAACAGGGCAGAAAATACTTATACATGTTAAATCAGATTATGGGTCATATCTAAAGAATTCAGTTGTCAAAAATTTTAAAAAGTAAACTATATAAAAATGTCTATTATCGCAAGTGCAACTGATATAATATGCTTGGGCAATGGTGCACAAATGTGATTTGGAGTTGGGGGTCTTCTTATTTCTCCCCCCCCCCCCACTCACAAAACATAAGCTAGCCAGGGGACAGCAAAGTGGTAATACAGCCAGGTCCTATGGCTTCCTGGTCTTAATGAAACTGCACATCTGATATTTCCAATGATTCATCATGGTTTTTCAAAGCCACACAAGGTGACAGTGGAAAAGACATGCAGACAAGAAGCGAGTGCTGAACTCTATAAGCTACTTTACTCGCCAGAGGATATGGTAGGTGGTAAAGGTAACCAAGTTCCTATAGCAACAGTCCACTGTAAAAGAGGCAGGAGCTTAGAAGAGAAGCCACTCCTGCCTCTGCTGTTCCCCAGAGATCTGTTCTCAGTGCCGGGCTGTCTAGGGATTTAATCCCAGGGCCCTCTTTAAGCTGAAGGCTGCTGAGTTCATCACACCTCCCCAGGGCCTCTGGAACATCTCCCTGGGTGCCTTGCCTGCTCCTCAGACCTTGCAAACCCAGGCTGAACATCTCCACCTCAAATTGGCTTTTCTTCCAGTACCGTCTCAGGTCCTTGTTTCTACTATTCACACACTTGCGCAAGCCCAAACCCTCACTCGTTCCAGGCAGTAGCCAAGTGCAGCCAAACCTGCTGACCTCTCTCTCAAGCCCCATGGACACTAATCTTGTTGGGCATGGTCCTCTCTCTCAGACTCAGATGCAGCTTCCCAACAGCCTGTTTCTGTAGCCTCTCTCTGCTGGCTTATTCTATGCTGCTGCCAACTTAGAATTGGTCACTTTCTGCTTCTAAACCTGAACAGCCCCCAAGGCCTCAGGATAAAGTCCACCCTCCTCCCCAGGGTGTTCAAGGCACTTTGGGATGTAGTCCCACCCTACTGGGTTTACTCCTTCCCTGGGGCATTTCAGCCAGTCCAAGCTGGGAAGGAGAGACAGGCTGGAGTCCTTCAGGAGCCTGGGTCCTGGACCTTCCAGGTCAAACCTGGACCTGGGTTTCCAGAGGTAGGAAAGTAGGCAGAGGCTGGGCCTTGCTCTTCAGAACCTGAGAGGAGCATCCTCAAAGCAAAGGGCCTTGGTAAACCTATGGACTATCTGGGCCTCCTGCCTTTGTAACTTCCCAACTTCATAGAGCTCCAAACTATTCCCAACCAGTGAGTGGCTAGTTCACCTGACCCTTCAACCAGTATTTGCCATGGCAAATACTACCATGGTCAGGCCCCAGAGAGGGGACAAAACAACAAACGGAGCCTGGTTCTAGTCTCTGAGGAGCTGGCAGCCTGGCAGGTATGAGATGTGCAATGTCGTGTCAGTCAGACTCCAATATTCCTCTTTTTGGCCTCAAATCTTACATCACATATGACAAGGGTCATCTCTATGGTGACCTCTCTAGGACTGCAGGAAATCTCGGCTGATCCTAAGAGGAGGTGCTCTAGGGTCAAGGACAGGTGAGAGTGTCTTCAGGGTAATCAAATGGTTACCTTATTACTAAGACCTAACTTAGCCCCAGCGTGGCCAGCCCAGGGCCACCCTGGCCTGTGGAATCAGAGCATTTGATGCCGTGGGAGTTATATAGCATCTCAGAAACAAGCAGTGGCATGTGGCGAGGCAAACAACATCGGATACCTCTTCCTCCCTGGGCTTACGGTCTTGCCTGCCCTACAACCCAACCAAACCTCCAATCCCAGCAGTGCTCAGCAAAACACACTTCAGCATACACTGAAGAGGATAAGAATGTAGAACACAGGTCTAGTTTGTTTTAAATTTGAGATTTGGGGCAAATGACTTCCGTGAATCACTCATGTCTAGATTCATGACATGCCATCATCTTCTGCTGGACACACATGGAGGGCTTCACACAGCACTCGCATGTGGACTTGTTCATTTGCTAATCAAAACCACCCTCTAAGGTAAGGGGTGGCGTAACTGGCATTTTACCCTTAGGGATTGAATAACTTCCAAGTGAGTGAGTTGGAACCCTAACTGGTCTTCTCTAACTCAGCACTCTTGCCATGTAAGGATAACTGCTTCTAATTGTTCTAAAATTACAGGTCTTACCTTTCCCTTGTAAACACATCCTTATACAATCATTCGCTTCTAGGAGTCATAATCAGTTAATTTCTGGTGGTCTGATACTCTTGCCAAGTTAAATTCCTTCCACATACCCATACAATTCTTTTCTCTTCTGGTAGGTCCTGAATTAATTACATAGCACCTTAATGGGCTCACTACCTGCTCATTTACATAGATTTAATCATTCAAAGGTAAAAACGGATGTGTATGAGACAAATCACAGGGCTTACATGAAATCTAGAACAGTTTTTAGGGGATGAATCTAAACACACAAATATTTTAGAAGATATTTTTATATTTTTTATGGAAAGTGTACAAGGGATGAGACCACAATAACAATAAACTATCACATATAATAAAATATATAATTAATAAATAGTATGAAAGAGAAAATATTCTTGCCTTTGGACTATACGCGGTAAAGGAAAAAACTGCACATTATGGATTTTATTTATACTTTTCTATTAACTATTATTAATCAAATTGGTTCCCCTCACTTGAGGGCCATAGCCACCGGCTCACGAACTCACCTTTCCAGCCTGGCCTCCGGTGGGGGTGGGAGAGACGACGTGGGGGTGGTGGGCACACTGGTTCCAGATGGGGGTCTTGAGGAGTGGTAAGAGCTGTTGCCAAAGTTGCTGTATCTAAAAAGTGCAAAGGTTTGGGTCGAGGGGAAAAGGATGGAGACATAAGTGTAAGTCAGTAAATAAATAAGATCTAGCAAACCATCTTAATTTTTGGAAGAAAAACAGGACTGGAAATGCTACCACTGTTAGTGATGATTCTAACCCAAAGAGATGTACTAACTGGGTTGTTCTGATAATTTCTCATTAGAGAAGTTTCTCAAAGTCCAAAATCATTAGGCAACAAGATTTATGACAAAGGGTTTAAACAAAACCCTACCATTTCCTGTCTTTTTAATGTACATTAAAATTAGTTGCTAATATAAATTCATAAAAATCCAAATTATTTTGATTTGAACCATGAAGATTTTTCTTGCTTCTCATGGTGGTATAATCAGTGTTCTTATTCCATCACAGGTCTGCAGGAAATACTATATGATTGGCTAAAGAAACATCTCATTAAAAACTCTACTTTAGGTCTTTCTGAATCAATTTCATTCATTAAACATAATCCCATTGCATGCTCAGTGATCAAAGAGAGACTGTCCCCAGGCCTTTGGGACTGGCCTGTGGCTTAGAGGCGTGTGTATTCATGTTTTCATCCACCATTTCCCCTGAACCAAAATGACAGCCACTAGGGTTTACATAAGCTTTGATTATTTCCCAGGCATCTCTGGCAAATATTGGGATTTGTGAAATTCTAGAATTTTCTTTCTGCTTTTCAGCATGGATGTCCTTTAGCAGTTTGTATTTAGCTATCATCACTCAGAACGTTCCCAGAAAACAAATCACCATTTGAAGCCCTTTCATGGGAACAGACATTCATGATTAGTTACAAATAATGAAATGCAGAGAGCTTTGCCTCTCAACCTACCTAGCCACAGAGCAGGGCCGACTCCATCCCCTAAACTTGTTAGGGACACTGTATTATACGTGTGGGACTCCAAGGGCCACTATGATCTATGTACACAAATAACTTCCTAAACATGGAGAATCCAGTTGAAACTCTAAACAACAGAAATCAGAATCCCTTCTGGAAAGTGATTTGATTGCAAAATGCACGCATCCTTTGACAGAGTAATTTCACTTTGGGAAAGCTAACAAAGAAATAACCTTATGGTTATTTATACACTGAAAACACCTTGCACAAAGATACTCATTGGAATATTATTTAGATCACAGTGAAAAACTGGAAACCACCCAATCAGGTAACAATGCTAAGAAAGTATGATATAGTGTTCAACAACAGAATATTATGCAACCATTAAAAATCATTACTGATTTTGTAAGTGACAATACAGAAACTGTTGACATATAGGCCAAATAAAAACATCAGGATATAATATTATTCATAGCTTGATTATAACTGCAAAAATATTTTCAAAGGTCAAAAACTGTGTGTAGGAAAAAGGTATAAAAATGGGCCATTTTTTAAAAAGTTGGAATACAGAGATGAAATTTCAGTTTTCAATAATAAATTTATTATAGTGGAAAATATTTATATTGCCCAAATCTACCCTGCACTGCTCACTCCGGTCAGCATGGCTGTTGCTCCCCTATTTGTTTATTTGGTTTCACATGTCAGGTTCTAAGTGCCAGGCACTCCGCCAAGTGGACGGAGACTCAGGCCACAGCATTTTATTCCATCGTCCTTCTCTGTTAACACACTGTCTTCGTGGGAGTTGGTTTCAGGGTGCTCATTTTCCCTTCCCTGCAAAAATCTAACACTCTATTTGTCCAACAGGTTAATTGCTTCTCCAAGTGATTGGTTTGATCTTTCAAGAGGGCTCCAAACCACAGGACGCAGCGTAGAAGGCAGAAAAGGATGAAAGGAACATACAAAGAAAGGAAGAAGGGGGGAAGGAGGGAGCACTAATGAGCAAAGAGGAAGAGAAACTAGACAGCAAGTTCTGTGACCAAACTAGACAGCAAGCACCATGACCAAGGAAAGGAAGGCGACCAGGCCCCAGTGCTGCCCCCTCTGTGTGGCTCCGGAACTGCTCCAGCAGCCACCGGGACACTCAGCTTGTCATCCTACCCCAGCAGCTAAACTGACCCCCTTCCCACCACAAGTGGACATCCTGCAGAATGTTTTAACAGGGTCACTTTGCTAAAACCGTGTCTAAATGACGTTATGGAAATAAAGCAAGCATAATGTGTTTTTCCCTCCTTTGGTTTTTCTAATGGCTAAGCAATTAATTCAAATGCCTCATGGTCTGCCCAATTTTGCTTCTCAGTTTCAGCCAAACTAACTGGATCATACAATTCACTATTTTGTGTATATGTCTGGGTGGGTGGGTGGGTGGGTGGGTGTGTGTGTGTGTGGAGGGGGAGGGTTCTTTTTAATGACTAACTGGTTGAACTTTATTATAACCCTTGCTATTGTACTCAATTACTGAGTAGTCAAATCTGTGGCCACACAGACCCATGAAAACTACAGCAAACGAACATCAAAAAATTCATTAGGTTCAAACAATATTTATACAGTGTTCAAATTTCTGCCAGATGATTTTGAAAGTTGACGAACTCTGCTCAGTTAAATCAAAGTCAATCTCATTCACAAGTATGTGGCTATTTTTTGAAATTTGTGTGTATATTCAACTGGGTAATTTATGTGTTTCTATTGCTTTCATCTCCCAGGACTATAAGTAGTAGTGATGCTTGCAGACCAAGTGGGAGGGACCTGGGGCCCAGAAAAGCCCCATTAGAGGCTGAGACTGTCACCACAATGTCCAGGATCACCACCATAGGCTAACACACTCTGCTGGGAAGATGAGGTTGCCAAGATATTTTTATTCCAGTCAAACGTACAGGTCCTAACTTACACATAGATATTGTTCTTGGAGGGTATAAGAGTCATGCTGGATTCATTCCATGATAATTGTGTGAAAGAGCACAACAATCCCAGAATTTTAGACCTAGAAGAGAACTTACAGTTTCAAGATATTCAAACACAGCACAAAACTCCTGGAGGGATACAAAGCCATTCCAGAAGAAGAGGAAATGGGTTTTCAGGTCCTCAAGTTCCATATCTGCTCTTGCTTAAAATAGATCTGCCCGTGCTGCTCCAGGGTCTCCCAGTTCCCCTTCCCTGCCTCCCCTTCCACAATTGCCTTCCACTTTTAGAAACAAAAGAAAAACTCTCAAGCAGACTGAATCAGCACAGGGCACTGCCGTGTGCTGTAACACTTCCAGGGTGCCAAGCAAAGGAATCATCTGGGAGAGCATCACTCCTGAGGGAATTCCTTAAGAAATACTGCGGAGGGAAAAGGCATCACTTAATTTATCCAGGGACAGACTAGAAACAAGACCTCATGCTTTATCTTGTCTACCTGCCCACCCACCTGACAATCAGACCCAGAATTAAGGCAGTTGTCAGGGACACACATGAGCTTACTTCAACTGAAACATAAAGTCAGATCATTTCTAACAAAAATTAGTCCTTATTTGACCGAGGACTGGCTTTGCAAATTAGGCATATGTGGTATTCTCCATAATTAAAACAGTTAAATCTGAAGCCCCAAGGTTTTGACAAAAATATAAAGCACATATACAATAGACAAATTAGATCCTTTACAACTATTTAAACTTAAAATAAAAAATTTTAGACAGTCTACTTAAAACTTTGAGGGAAGCTTCAAAATTCTTTTATGCTATATGTAAGCAAAAATGATTGACAGTCACAGTTCTAGATTAATCCTTCTATTTATTAGATGACAGGTCTGATGCTAATAAAAAGGACTGGTCATTTCTGTGGTATAAAATGCTGCCATCCAGGTCTAGATCCTTATTTTAAAACAAGGCACAGTTTCATGCCATACACCCAGGCTGGGCTTCCCCAAACACAGGCTCTGGCAAAAGCACCCTGCTGACAAGCACTTGCCTAAAGAACCCTGGCAAAGGGGTGGCAAGCCTGGTAAGGAGAGAGTGACAGGCTGCCCAAAAGACCTGCAGTAGCACCTAGCACAGGTTAGGACCCTACTCTGGAGCAGGCCGCCGGGGGTTGAAACCACTCCCCCACTTACTAGCTGAGTGACTCTGGCCAAGTTCCTTAGCCTTTCTGTGCCTCAGTTTCCTTGCTGTAAATACAGGTTAGTAATAGAACCTACCTCTTAAGGGTTAAGTGATACTTTAAAGCACTAATTTCATGGACGATATAGGACCTAGCTCATAATAGCTAACATTTATTGAATATTCATTATCATTATTCTAAGACAGGAGTGGCCATCAGAATGACCAACTATCGATTTTGGACAATTGCTTAAAATATAAACCCCGCCCCCCACCCCAAGCCCTAGTCCCTGTTCCCAGCTCCGGCAGAGATCTCCTAATTCAGCCAACAGCGAAGGGCAGTCACACAGACAGGCGGACAGCAACTGTTACACATTCCCTGGGGAGTTCTGAGGGCAGAGGGACTCTGCCTCATCTCCAGCCTTTATAATAATTATTTAAATGTTCATAGTTAAATAATATATGAATGCCCCTTGAAGTGGTTCAAACTGCAATTGTGCACCATCTTATGGGACACTGCAAGAAAGCTTTGGAAAGAAAAATGTATAAATCAGAATACAAAACAGAAAGCTACAGAAAAGGAAAACAAAAGAAGACACCCACCTATTAGAAGAGAAAGACCGGAAGTTGTAGGGCTCAGAGGCAGAATATGTGCTCACAGGGACAGAATCCGGAGAACTGTCAAAGAAAGGACAATGCTACAGGGAAAGGCAGCAAAGCACTTGGCTGCATTCTGCAGGTCCAAGGCGACCTCATGCCAGATGGGTGGGTACAAGACGCACAGACTTTGACAGACCATATGTTTTTAAAACTAGGCATTTAAAAATCCACTATTAGTTATTATAACAAAAGATTCCCTTTTGGATGACCATTGTCTTCTGCATCTTATCTAAATACTGGTCATTATTTAGTTAGGGGTCAGCAAGATCGTTTATGCCACGACTACTCCCTGCTCGGAACAAAATCTCCGGGAACACGGCAGCAGACAAGCCAAAGGATGCGGTTAACAGGCATCTTTCCCTCTTCCCTGGGTTAGCCTCAAACAAGCCTCCACGTGGGCAAATCTACCTGTTTTCCTTCTGGGACTCTGCTTCCTTTTCCTTGCTGGATAAGGGAGAGTCCTCAAAGTCATAGGAGAAGAGGTGGAAGGGGCTGTGGGGCACGTAGGGCAGCTTGTCTATGGTCGGTGACGACTTCAGGGAGGCAGGCGTGGTGGAGGAGGGCCTCCCAGCCCGGGCAGGGGCAGGGGGCAGCAGGAGGCCAGGCCGGGTGGCTTCAGGCGCAGAAGACCCCCTGCACAGAGGGTTCCCCCCTGCACTGCCGGCTGGAAGCGGCTTTCCCTTCGACGTGGCGTTGGAGACAGCTGGGAGGGCAGGACTCTCGGGAGCAGCGTCCTTTCCAGGAGGGCTCTGCTCTGAGGCAGGGCTGGCCTCGCTGTGGGCCCAGCAGGGAGGAGAGGAGAAGGGAATAAAAGATTGGGAGAGAAGGAGCCAAGGTTAGGAAAGAGAGAAAGACATGGAAAGACCCCACTACTGCGCTGCTATGGCCACTTCCTTTGGAGTCCAGCTGTTTCTTGAACTGCAGCATGAGAGCCTATCACCAAAAACTGTGGTTTGCTCAAGCAATCCAGGCTTGCCCACCTGGGAAGCAAGACTAACAGGGTGCCAGGAAGCACTTCCCAGGCCAAATCTGGCCTCTGGGCACATGGAGGCCTTTGAGAAGGGATTTTCATGGACCCTAAAAGCTCTTCTGCACCTGCCCACACCGCTAAGTTTTTCCTCGCTGGTTGTGTTGGCACCTGAATGTCCGTAAGTTGAAATTCATTTCTTTGTCTTGGTCAAACAGAGGATCTGTCATCCTGCTAACAAGCCCTGCCTTGAGGAAGAGGCATCTCAAAAAGCCATATACTTCAGTTATTGCTTTCACAGCCTTTTGTGCAAGCAAAAATGGACAAGAGAAAAGGAGAGAAATGCCAGCAAGGAGTGCAAAGGGCCACAGGGAGGGCCCCAGGAAAGGTAGACAAACTTCGCTCCTTTCCTGCTCTCCCCAGAGCTTACCACTAAGCCTCTGTTGTCTGGACTCCTTCAAACTGGCCTGATTCTGCCACAGCTACAGCTTCAAAAACTTGTCATCACCTCACACACAACAGAGACATAAATGGCGACTGGGGGGGGAAGTGATGGATGTGTTCATTTGGCTGTGGTCATCACTACACAGTGTGTACGTATATCAAATCGTCATTGTATACCTATACATATATACACACACAATTATATATGTATATACATAATTTTTATTTGTCAATTAAATATTTTTCTATTTTTAATTTATTTTTATTTTTATTTCAAAGTATTATGGGGATAAAAATATTTTTGGGTACATAGATCAGTTTTATAACAATTAAATATTTTTAAATTTAAAATAAAACTTCCATCTTCAGTAGGCTGGATTTAAACACTTAGGTATTTTAATACACACCTTTATAACCTGTGAATCTCTGTGAAATTGCATTTGTCAAAAGCATAGTCTCTCCCCCAGGGAACTTGACTCCCAGCCATGTCTATCTGGGCATAGGATGTAGACTATTTTTTTTTCCTACCTCAAATGCAGAGCTCCACTTGTCTATAAGGGCAGGGACACACTGGCTTCCTTGGGTGGATGGGGGATGGCCCAAGACCACAATGCAGTGTGCCCACCACAGTGTCACCGTGTCAAGCACACACCAAGCAGAAGCTGGCAGGAAGCAGGAGCAATGGAGACATGGACCCAACAGAAGGAAAGGGAAATCTTCATGCCCCTTTAAGGCCTCATAGTTTTAGGCCAGAGAGCAAATAGCACCTGGATCATCAAGGTTAATGAATACCTAGGTACTGTCAAGATTAAGCTCCGGTGTCTTAACACCGAAAAGCCCAACCAGTCTCTAGTGAAGGACACCCTCCGGCATCAGTTGGTGTAGTCAGGGACCTTGTGCAGCCTAAGCTGAGCACTCATCTACCTGTGTGAACAACAGCACACCTTCACCAGCGATGCCCTTCCCAGCCAGATTCTCCACCTGGTTTGTAGGTGTGGAACCCTGTGAATACCTGAGGGTTGCAGGGTTTGCACGGGTGCGGACAGAACACGCACGTTGAAGCAGATGTGGAGCCACACCAGTGTTTTACAGAGGGTCTACATCAATCTCTGTGGCTCACTTCTGATGTACGGTGGGACTGGCAACCAAACGCGCTCCCTTCCCAGAGCAGCCCTCGCTAACAACTCACTACCCCCAAGCACAGCAGAGGAGCGCGGGCAGGGGCCCTGTTCCACGCTCATCTTTCTCCTCCTCTCATCCTGAGACGTGTGGCTAACTCTCTACCATCAGCTCATTCCTTTCTTCTCACCATTCTCCCCACATCCTGCTGGCTTCTTCTCAGACATTTCGAGGTGGGGAAACAACCCATTCGTTTGTCAGTTCAGAGAGGATTCTATGACCCTCTGGCACGGTGGGAGTCCCAGAGTGTCAAATGAGCCCACACTAGTGGGCTAGTCCACTAGTGTACACTGTTAGCCCGAGATTTGAGGTGTTGGCAGCAAAGAACCTCAATAACTTGGACACTGGCAAGAGGAAGATTTCACTCAAATTCATCTAAGTTCCTCTTGAATTTGCTTATTTACAGGGGAAAAAACAGTAAAAATGTCTATTTGTAGTGGCAATCAATTAAGTGACAAAAACCATGTAATTTTAATTAGCTTTGAATATTGGAAAATGAAATTACCCATGAGCGAATTTTTATTTTTTTATACAGACATCATTTGGGGAAAATGCCTATAAAATTTAAAAATATTGGCAAGGTGCCTGTGTCTCGTAACATTGCCTGAAGACAGAAAGAACACACCTTGCCAAGGTGAGCAGAGAGAACAACAAACTCCCCAAAAGGCTGCCGAGTTAGGTTAGCTGTTCTGGGCATGAAAGTAAATAAAACTGGAAATTTTTGCTATGCTGCATGGGGTGAAAATATTCCTGTCCATTCGGATGAAAACCGAACCTGAATCATTAATAGTTACCCATACATTTTAGCTAATATTGTACCGATAAAATCAGGAAGAAGGGAACACATGGAATTCTTCTTACTGCAATGCTAAAAAGACTAAAATCTTAGCAGAGTTGAACCTTTTTAGTCATTGTCAATCTGTCTGAGCTAAAGCACTTGAGAGAGGGAACAGTGGTGGGAGAGGAGTGATTTTTCCATAGAATGTGGTTAGAAAAGCAGGATTTTCACAAAAAGTGCAGTTCTTTAAGGAAAACGTGCTCAGCTATTTTTCTACAAAGCTAGGCATTCTGTGGCTGTGTGCGCAGCATAAGTAAAGGCTTGCCAGGGGAGGCAGTGAGGAAGGGAGGCACTAGAAGGTGGTGGCAAACTACCCATCAGGAAGGAGCCTCTGGCTTTTAACATGAGCTTGGGAGGCTCCAGCCCTTGGTACCTGTCCTTGCCCTGACAGGGGGCATCGTCCTCTCTCTCTTCCTCTGAATTGGGCTCCGTGACTGGTTGCTCCTCTTCCTGCTCTTCCTCCTCCTCCTCCTCATCCCTGAGATGAGGTCAGGCAAAGAGAAATGCACACAGAGACAAGGTGGAAAAGAGAGATGAACATGACAGATGAATAGGAAGATGCAGCAAAAACAGAACAAAACCCCAGCCAGCTGAAATGAAGAACACTCAATCTATTAGGAGAAGGGAGACAGTGCTGAGACGAGGAACTTTAAATGTAGGGTGGAGAGGCCTTAACCCAGAAGAGACCGCATTTCTTTGTCAAGGTGGCTGGATGCCACCACCCTGCACCCCCAGATGCAATTGAGAGAAGCTTCTGGCCTCCAGCTGCCCTAATGTGCTTTTTCTCCTCCACACAGAGTCCAGCAACTGTTCGTGCAGCAACTAGAGTCCTCACACCATCACCGCGCTGGAAACCACTGATGAGAAATCGCTGAGAGTCAGGCAGCTCTGGCATGGACTGACCCTGTGCTGCACACATGGTTTGGGCACGCCACCCTCTCATTCTCTGTAAGTGTGATTTAGGGGGCCAGATCACCCCCACTTCCAGGGTGGGTACAAAGTTTAGACAGAGCCAAGCCATGTCACACCTGGTGCCTTCAGGGATGGCTCACTGTGGGGACACTCTGAGTCTGGGGCTGCTGCACCCCCTAATAAGGGAAGGCTGCCTGTAAGTGAAGCCCACCCAAGAAAAGCAGAGTTGAGGTTGGGAGAAATAGAGGAGAAAGCTGTTCCCATGACAATCAGCTCGTCAATTTCCAAAAGTCCAAAAATCTTGCTGGACTATTGATTGAGATTATATTTGTCTACAAATTTGAAGAACTGACATCTTTACATATTAAGTCTTCTAATCCATGGTCATAGTATACCTTTTATTTACACCTAATCTTACTGTAATCTTCCTTAATTTCTCTTCATAATGTTTTATGTTTTCAGTAGAGGTCTTAGCTATCTTTTATTAAACTTATTTCTCAGAATAAATTTGGATGCTACTGTACATTATCAAGTTCTAAATTTCATTTTCTATTTGTTTGATGGTACATAGAAATAAAATTGATTTTTCATAAACTTACCTTGTATCCAGCAACTTTTCTAAATTTATTAAAATACTTTTTATATAGATTCTCATAAGATTTCCTATGTAGACAATTGTTTCATCTTAAAATAATGATGGCTTTATTTACTCCTTTCCAATCCATATGCTTTTCTGTTTTCTTGCCCTATTATATAGCATCATGCCAGGATCTCCAACATGATGTTGAATTGATGTGGCGACAGTGACGCTTCCTTTTCTTCTTCCATATTTCAGGGAAAATAATGAGGCTCACCAGATTTTTTGGTAACTATTTTAATTACAATAAAGAAGTTTCCTTCTAGCCCTAATTTGCTAATAATTTTTATCATAAATGAGTATTAACTTCCATCAAATGCCTTTTTTTGCATTTGTCCAATCATGAGATTTTCTCTTTGTTTCTGTTAAAGAGTTACAAAGCCTGCTTTAAAAAAAAAAAAAAAGTTAAATCAACCTTGCACACACCAAGAATAAAGCCCACTTCGTTTTAATGTATTAATATCCTTTTTATACACAGCTGGATTCTATTTGTTAATATTTTATTAAGAAATTTTTACATATCTCTTTTGGAAAGAGATGGGTCTATAATTCCCCTTTCTTATAATGTGCTTGTCAGATTTTGGAATCAAAGTTACACAGGCCCCATAGGTAGGTTGACAGCTGTGTACTGAGGAAGAGACGGATCTGGAAAGAATTAAAGTAGAAGATTTGGCTGAACTTGGTGACCGAGTAGATGCAGTAGAAGAGGAAGAGTGAAACAATCACAAAATCTCATGCTTACTTGTCTCAGGAACGTGGACTGGGGGTGCCTCCAACAGAAACAAGGAACCAGGGGGACGGCATCCCTCCTGTAATGCCAGAAGCCACCAACAAGCACATCTGAGCTGTCCTTTTAAGCTTGGCACAGCAGACACTCAACATGCCACCCCCCTACACCAGGATCAGTCCTTGTTTCCTCTCCCTGCTCTCACAGCAGCCGAGTGAAAACTGTGCCCACAACCTCTGGCCTGAGCCACAACCTTCCCTCAACTGGAGTTTACAGCTGTTATCCTTCTGGTCCATCCAGAACGCTCTCCACCCTGCCAATCCATGAGCCTCTCCTCTTTAAAACAAAATACTGAGTTCTTCCTTCCAAAATGACTTGATCCCATTCGCTCTCCCAGGCAGAGCTGGAGAGGCCCTGGAGCCAGGCTGCCTCAGTCTGTCCTCTAGCTCCACTTCTTCCGAGCTGTGTGACCTTGAGCCTCACTTCCCTCATCCCTATAAGGGGTAGTAACAGTACCTACCCTCCTCGAAGGATTGCACTAATATGTAAGAGCATTTTGACAAGGCTTGGCACACAGTAAGGAAATCGGTTTATTCCAGCTCTTGGCTGTTGTCACCAGCTTAGAGCCCTCTGAGGACATCTCCAACCTCCCCAACCAGCGGGCACTCAGAACTCTGCTCGACTCCCTGCACTGGAGGGGGCGCAGCACTCTGCAGAGTGTTCCGCACCACTGACAGCCAGCAACACTTTCCCTTTCAGCATTTCCCTTTTATAACTTCACAGTGACTCGAGTTACTCCGCCTGCTCTTTTTGATCCCTCTCTCTTCCATGTAGCTGTCCCACAGATGTTTGAAGACAGCCATCCTGACCTGCATCCCAAGCTGCCTCCTCTTTGAGCTCAACAGCCTCAGATTGTGCAATCAATTTTCACAGCATGTGTGCATGTTGTATCCTTGCCGAACCCAAAGGCAGGCAGCATGCTCACTCACTTGGATGGCCCCGCCCAGGATGCCCTGGTCAAAGCACCGGCCTTGCCCTGTGGTGCAACGGGGCAGAGAAGGAAACACCCTCTTGTAGAGCACATGATTTTCAATGCTTTATTCTATCAATATTTAGTTCCAGCCTATTATTAAAAAAAAAATAGTATTATTATGCTAATAACTCAATTTTGTTTATATTTGTGCTAAGGAATTCTGGGTGTTTGGCCTTTGGCTTTTCAATACCCCTATAGGTATTTTGCTCACTTTCGATTGATAAGGAGTTACTCTAGGGCACAGGCCTGTTCTGAATCCATTAGGTATTTTTCGTTTTGACCACAAACAGTGCCAGATTTGAGGCCACGCTTTTCACGTTGGAAAAGCAACCCAGAGGCCTGCAGTCTGATTCTGTACAGCATAGTTTCCATCGAAGCCAATTTAACTTTCCCAAATTTGGGTCTCAAGCTAATGTCAGGTTTCTTAGGCTTTCAAACACAGACAAAAAGGAAAATGAATGTTGCTGAGCTGTTTCAAAAGCACAATAGAGATACTCAAAACAACCTTAAAGCACGTTCCAGGACTAAAGCAATCAGGATCAAAGTGGAGCAATTAATTGGGAGAAGGCATTTGTAATACATCCAAAAGATACAAGCACAAATCAAGAAATATACAAGATGTGTTTTAAAAATCAAAAACCCAACTGTAAAAGTGGACAAAACACGTGAACACAGCCAATAAGCTTGTATAAAGAGATATTTTAAACTCACTATAAATCAGAGAACTATAAATTAAGGCCACAATGAAATACCATTTTTTATCTACTTGGCAAAATCAAGAAGTCTAATAATACCAAGTGCTGAAGAGAATGTAGGTCAGCTACCTTGTATACACTGCTGCTGAGAGTGTGCACAGGTATAACCACGTCAGCAAAATAATCAGCACTGTCTTGTAAAGTTAAATATTCACACCATGACCTAAAAGTGGCATTGCTATACCCTAGGGCAGTGGTTCTGAACCAGAGTGACTCTGCCCCCACAGTAGGGGACATCTGTCAATGTCTGCAGACATTTTTAGTTGTCACAACTGGGGCGGGGGGAAGGAGGGCTATTAACATCTAGTTGGCCGAGGCCAAGAATATTGCTAAAAATCCTACCATGCATACAACTGTCTCTACAACAAAGAATTATTCAGCTCCAACGTCAATAGCACCGCGGTGAGAAACCTTCCCTATGGGTATTGAAGCACCAGTGTAGCAGGATATGGGTCTGAGAATGTTCTCAGAAGCACTGTTTGTAACTGTTAAAGGCTAGAAATGACCCAAATACCCACCAACAGGAAAAAGGACATAAAGGTTGTGGTAAGTTCCAGGCAGTAAAAAAATGGATGAACTATAGCCTCACACGACAATAAGAATGACCATCAGAGGTATGATGTGGAATGTAGAAAACAAGTCCAAGAAGGCATTTGTGATCTAATGCATTTTTTATAAAGTTCCAAAAAGCAAAATTGTATAATATATTGTTTAAATGTACATGTATGATAATACTAAAACACACACACACACACACACACACAGAAACCCCACAGGACAATGATAAACACAAACTTAAAAGTATTGGTTACCTACGTCTAAGGTTGGCAGAGTGAGAAGCCCACGCATAGGTGGTAAGTTAGGAGTAATGCTCTAGTTTTTTAGTTAGGTCATAGTCTCATCGGTGCTCTTTATATTAATAAATATTACATAAAAATAAACTAGGAGATAGCCACAGACCAATGATGACAACATGTCATGAGGCAAGAATCAGGATTAATCCAATTCTGTACAATTGGGACTTTTAAAATAGTAACAACGTAATTTTTTTTCTAAAAAAGCAGTCCAACTTTGGGTTAGGGGCTTTATCTCCTTTTATTCAACAAATATTTTGTTGAGCATTTATTATGTGCAAGATGCTAGGGTACAGTGCTAAATAAGGTCCTTTCTCTTGGAGTTACAGGGAGGTGGAGGGAGAAAATATTAAACAACTAATTGCACCAGGAAGTATTCAACACAGGTGGCCTGCATGACCTGGAAAGACTCCAGCAGAACTGTTAAAGTGCAATTCAGAGGGCCAAGGAGGGACCAGGGAACAAGATGGGATTTTGCACATCACATTCACCTGCTCAGCATGTCTGTTGACCTAGGATCAAGTCTAATTTGCCTAGGTAATCTTTCATCCCTTGCCACC